TTGTGTGACGCGGTTCAAGGTACTGTTTCGTTATGGCGACCTCGACGCCGGCGCGCCCTCGTTTGAGCTAGCGTCGCGTGCTGACCCCCAATCTTGGAACAAAAAGGGGCCTCCTCCGTTCTTATGCAGATTGTTTGTAGAATGTGATGAACAGGCAAAGTCACGTCGTGGAGGGCGCTATGGTGCACTGATGTATCAGAGTGGCAGGTCAACACACGTTCTCCAGGCGGATGCTCGGCAGTTGGAATGGTTCCATTTCGAGGCAGCATTTAACTGGCAGACTCACATGCTCGACCTGTCAGCCAATGGTAGTTTCTGGCGACTTCCTTTCTCCGCGTATCCGCTATCATCCGTCTACATTCGCAACGTTCGTGGCGCTGGAACGTCGTCTGCTGCCTCAGACTTTGGAGACATAGAGGTAGACTACTGTCGGATGTCAGACCAATGGGATAAGTTCAACGAGCTTGGCGAAGTCCTCCCATACTCGTGGTACAGTGCGCGGATGCTCTACCCCTATGACCCTGCCCCTCGCGACGCGATGCGGCCTACCTTGTAACACGTCGATGTCACGTCGGTAGGGGGGCAGCCGCCAGGGGCCTTAGGGGAAAGTGGCTGAGCATCGCCGCCATTCTCATCCCCGTCGGCCGCGTTTGCTTGCAGCAGCCTGCAGAAGGGAAGAGAGGAAAAGCAGCAGAAACCACCATCCTCCCGGAGCGAAAAGCAGAAACAAAAGCAGCAGACAGGAAAGCTGCAAAAGCAAACTTCCTCCTTGAGTGTGATCATCGTCGTCCTCGATCACCCTCCTCAGCTTCCTGAGCACTGGCACAGCCACCATCTTCCCCCTTGAGTGTGATCATCATTCTCCTCAGCCTGTTGAGGAAGGTTGAGTGTGATCATCCTCCTCCTCAACTTCCTGAGCAGGAAAGCCACCAGCTTCCTCCAGGGTTGAGTGTGATCATCATACTCCTCAGCTTCCTGAGCACAGCCACCAGCTTCCTCCAAGGTTGAGTATGATCATCATCCTCCTCAGCTTCCTCAGGCTGAGCAGGAAAGCCACCAGCTTCCTCCAAGGTTGAGTATGATCATCATACTCCTCAGCTTCCTGAACACAGCCACCATCTTCCTCCCTTGAGTGTGATCATCATCCTCCTCAGCTTCCTGAGCAGCAAAGCCACCAGCTTCCTCCAAGGTTGAGTATGATCATCATCCTCCTCAGCTTCCTGAACACAGCCACCATCTTCCTCCCTTGAGTGTGATCATCATCCTCCTCAGCCTGTTGAGGAAGGTTGAGTGTGATCATCATCCTCCTCAGCTTCCTGAGCACAGCCACCATCTTCCTCCCTTGAGTGTGATCATCATCCTCCTCAGCTTCCTGAGCAGGAAAGCCACCAGCTTCCTCCAAGGTTGAGTATGATCATCATACTCCTCAGCTTCCTGAACACAGCCACCATCTTCCTCCCTTGAGTGTGATCATCATCCTCCTCAGCCTGTTGAGGAAGGTTG